CCCCTGAATAAACGAGACTTGATCAGAACCCTGTCTTGTCTCCGTTCCTTGTGTCTTTTGTCCCTCTATATCCTCACTCCCCCTCTAGAGTCCTCGTTGCTCGACCTGCGGGACGGGTCAGTATATATGTGTCTGTTTGTTTTTTTTACCTCACCTGAGAACATTATTCCATTTTTTGTTCAGATAGAGTGGGAAAAGAGAGAGAGAGAGAGAGAAAACATCGACATGAAAGGGACACATTGGGTGGCTGCCAGACGCACGACCCAACCTGGGCCGGGGACAAACCACAACCGAGGTACGTGCCCTCTGCAGGAACCGAACCCTGGTCTCTCTGGACCGCAGGCTGATGCTCTAACCGCTGAGCCAAACCGGCCAGGGCATATGTGCCTGTTCTTTCAAAAAAATATTTTTATTGATTTTTAGAGGAATGGTGAGGGGAAAGAGAAACATCGATGTGAGAATGAAACATCCACAGGCTGCCTCCTGCTCGCCTCCTTTTGGGGATCAAGCCTGCAACCCAGGCATGTGACTTGACCTGGGTCAAAACAGGCAGTGGAGCTGGATTTGACATGTGAGTCAAACATTTTTTTTAATGTGTGTAGAGTGTGGAAAGGGAGACAGACTCTCTCTATGGAGCAAGCGAAGCCTTTCCCCACCCCCTGCCCCCAGGTGAGTTTTCCTTGCCTCTGTCTTTCTCCTGAGCTCCAAGGGCCCTTCTTTTGCCTCTGTCACTTGTTTCCTGAGCCCATGCCCAGCTGGCTCACTTTTCCTTCCTCTGTGACTTTCTAAATAAACTTTCTCTTATAGTCCGGCGGGGAGGTGGAGGTACCCCAGGATGGTAGCTGTGTTGGTTGGTTCCAGGTTTTCTTTCTTTGGTATCTTTGTCCCACTGAGAATAAACACAACCCTTTGAGGGTGAGGTGGGGGGTACTGCTTATCTCCTGCAGTGTCTTGGTGAAGATGAGGTGTTGCAACTACTCAAGTTAGCTTGACAAACATTCCTGTGGGTGTAGTCGACATTTGAATTCATCTTAAGTCCTAATTCTCTCTTTACCAGAGAATCCTCTTATCTCAGTTTCACACTTGAGGGTCTTAAGGCCACAAGTAAATGTCTGCATAACATTTTACTGTTTAAATTAGCATACTGGTGCTCTGGTCTCTTGATCTTTTTTTTTTTTTTTTTTTTTTATCCTCACCCGAGGACATTTTTCCATTTTTTGTACAGATAGAGTGGGAGGGAGAGAGAGGAAGAGACAGAGAGAGAGAAACATCGATGTGAAAGGGACACATCGAGTGGCTGCCACCCGCACGACCAACCAGGGCCGGGGACAAACTGCAACTGAAGTACGTGCCCTTAGCGGGAACCGAACCCGGGTCTCTCCAGACCGCAGGCCGATGCTCTAACCGCTCAGCCAAACCGGCCAGGGCCTCTTGATCTTTTTTATCAGGATGGCTACTGTGAATTAATTCCTCAGAGCCTGACAGAGCCTCCTGGGTGCACTGCAGAAACAGTGTCTCAATATATCTTGATAATTAACTATTTTAATCAAGTTGCCAGCAAATTTTTTAGGAATCTGGTTTGTCAACATTTTAACTATGGTTTCACATGAAGCTGGAGCAACATCTGTTCACAGCAGGGGTCTCTGCAAACTGGGGCCTGCTGGACAAATCTGGCTCACACCCCTGGCTTGTATAGCTAAGAACCCTTTTTACATTTGTCAAGAATCGTCGGTTTTTTGTTTTGTTTTGTTTTGTTTTTAAAAAGGCAGACTGCAACGTGTTTCTTATTGAATCCCATCACTGAAGTTCATCTCTGGTCTACAGGAACCAAGCTGTAGCTTCTGTCCTGCCCCTTCCCACCAAAACAAAGTATAAAAAATAAAAACTAACACTGCCTGGCCGGCGTGGCTCAGTGGATTGAGCATCGTCCCGTGGACTGAGAGGTCCCGGTTTGATTCTGGGTCAGGGCACATGCTCTGATGTTTCTATTTCTCTCTCCCTTCCTCTCTCTCTAAAAAAATCAATGAAAACATATTTTCAAAAATGAATAAAATAAATATTTTAAAAAAATGTTTACACAGAACCAAGAGAAGTGAAAGGCAGACCTTTCAAACAGAAGGAAGAAGGGCCTCCTTGATTTTAGCAACTCTGAGTCCAAATCTGCATAATAGAAGATTCAAAATATTTTTGTAACAATTCAAAATAATAAAAACTTTAGGCTTACACAAAGGCATTAAGTGGAAGTTGAAAAGTGTACTTGGACGGCTGCTTGTAGTTAATTAAAAATACACAATTCAATACAATCATAAAATTTTATTGTAATCATAAAGTTTTAAAACTAAAAAAAATTCTTATTTTACACATGCAAGATGGAATTCAGAGAATGGAAGGATGTATGAAAACGGAACATAAAATGCAAATTAAGTATTAAATACCTAATCTTTATGATTTATGAGGTAGGTAAAGTAATATAACCAGAAACACTCATAATTTATTACGTCGGGAACAAAAATTTAAAAATTACAATTTTGCACGGCCAGTGTGTCTCAGTGGTTGAGTGTTGACCCATGCACCAAAAGGTCACTGGTTTGATTCCTGGTCAGGGCACAATCCCAGGTTGTGGGCCAAATGCACAGTGGGGGGCATGCAGGAGGCGGCCAATCAATGTTCTCTCTCATTGATATTTGTCTATCTCTCTCCCTTTCCCTTCCTCTCTTTCTAAAATCAATAAAGAAAAAATATTTTTAGATACATTTTCAAAATTTTTATTAATTACATATTCACTCTATTATATTGGTAGGCCTATAAAATAGTTTTACTTGAAGCCTATTTTCAAAAATAACTCTCAGAATGCAGTGCATGAAAGTTGTTTGGATTATTTGTCTGTGTGCACACAGAAACAGGTTGTAGTATGAATATGCAATGTGGATATGTCAAAAATTATACTGCAAAGACTTGGAAGAGCTCTCAAACCAAAGACCTTCTCTAATCCCACTACTACATCAAAAATAAAAGTTCTGCCCTGGCCGGTTTGGCTCAGCGGTTAGAGCGTCGGCCTGCGGTCCGAAGAGACCTGGGTTCAGTTCCCGCTAAGGGCATGTACTTCGGTTGCAGTTTGTCCCCGGCCCTGGTTGGTCGTGCGGGTGGCAGCCACTCGATGTGTCCCTTCACGTCGATGTTTCTGTCTCTCTCTCCCTTCCTCTCTCTCTCCCTCCCACTCTATCTGTACAAAAAATGGAAAAAATATCCTCGGGTGAGGATAAAAAAAAAAAAAGAAAAAAGAAAATAAAAGTTCTTTAGACACAATACAGAAAGAGGTATTATAAAATGATATACAGTTCTGCCACAAGGGAATGCAAAATGAGACAGAAAGTACAGAATGTTTATAAAGTTAATGATTCAGGTAGGACCCATAGCTCAAGATGATGATCTTCACAGACTTCAGAGACAATCATTAAGTTATTACATGTTATCAACCTGTCACCCATGACTGGCTGGGCTCCTCTAGAATAGGACCATATAGACAGCATGAGGGAGGTTTCCGTGCGCTGTAATGTCTACTTCTTGGCCTGGATTGGTGGATGCAGGGGTGTTCCTTTTATAGTTCACTGAACTCTACGTTTCCCTACATTACCCTTTGATAAAAAAGAAGCTAAAAAAACACTTCCCTATTACTAGTAAAGATTAGAATGAAGAAACGATGTGTAAATAAATGAGATGTATATGAGGGAAGAAGAAAACCTGCACAGGACCAGTTAGAACTGTTACTGTATCATAAATCTACCATGTGCAGAGCTGGGAAGGCTCTTGGAAGTTACGAATTCCTGGCATGGACAGTTCTTCATGGAGGTGCCCTGGAGGTACTGACGCATCAGGGCTCACAGAGCCGACACTTGTATTTCAGCAACGTTCCAGGTGACATGCTCATAACCGCTGAACGACCACAGGACGGGTGAGCCACCAGGTCCTGGTTCTCTGCACCTACAGTCCAAAGCCCAGCCAAGATGCCTGAGATATTCTGATTCCATCACAGAGAAATCTCAGTAAGTTGTACTAACCTTTCCAGACTTACCACAGCTTTCCCAACATAATGGCTTTTTTACCCAATAAATAACACTGGATTTTTCCAACAGTTTAGATTTCATATTACTACTATAGCAGTAATGCATTTGTTTTGTTTTGTGTTTAAATGCTCATCTCAGGACATTTTTTCATTTGTCTTCAGATAGAAAGGGAGGGAGAAAGGGAGAGAGAAACATCGATGTGAGAGAGACTCATTGATTGGTTACGTCCTTCAGGACCCTGACCAGGCCCGGGGACTGAACCGCAACTGAGGTACGTGCTCTTTTTGACCGGAATTAAACCAGTGACTCTTCTGTCCATGAGCTTACATTCTAACTGTTGAGCCAAACTGTCCAGGGCTGTTATTTCTTGTTTATTAGATAATGGCAGACCACAGGTTCATATCATATGGGAGCTGGAGGGCAACTGGCACATCTATTCCATTTAAAGATGAGCAAACTAACAGATGGTAGTGACTTGTCATGAGTTGCTACAATTCAATTTTTTAGGTCAATTAATTAAATTAGATTTTCCCTGTGTAGTTCATGATGAACTAACAAACAGTACGTAATATCACTAGTTTACGACTTGGATTCTTTCATAATCCAGTTCATTGTGATTTCTACAGAGCATTATATTGAAATTCTGGCTGAACAATACGATGGCAAATTAAAAGAAGACAACAAAATACTTCATTGAATTTTTACTCAAGATGCTCCTTTTGTATTTTATTTTATTTTTTGACTGATTTGAGAGAGAGAGGTCTATTGTTCCACTCATTTATACATTCACTGGTTGCTTCTTGTATGTGCCCTGACCAGAGAGCAAACCTACAACCTCGGCGTATCAGAATGACACTCTAACCAACTGAGACACCTGGCCGGGTGCTCCCTTTTTACTATGTAGATCAATCATGTACATTAAAGAGGAATTTAAGAATATTTGTTAAGAAATAACCATTTTAGGTCAGCACTGTAAGGAAGACAACAGTCATGCTTGCCAAGGCTACGTGATGCTGCCACAGGCCCCAGGTGAGAGATCGATGCCCTGGTCCATCAAGAATTCTTCTCCAGTGCATCTGAAATTCAACAGAAAGAGACTATGACTGCATTCTTCGCATCTGTCCAATTTTACTCAATATAGGCACTGTTCCTTAAAGAAGCCTACGGATTACTAAGACTGAAATAACTATCCCATCATACAGTAACACTTACAGTCAGTTAGTACTTATAGTTCTGCTAGATCCCATGCTAAGCAACCTGCATATAACAGTTAACCCCTAAAACAACTCAATGGGGTGGTGATTATACACATGTAAAAGATGAAGAGACTAAGGTTTAAGGAACTTGGCCAAGTTCACAGAGTCACACTTTGAACCAAGTTGCTCTCCTCTCCAGATCCATTTGGCTCCTAATCTATGAAGCTGCTCTCTTCAAAGGGCAGAAATGTTTGTCAAGTAAGTTCTCACTTACTCCTGAAGGGCCAAACCTCTGCTTTAACAGAAGACAGCTAGGCCCTTAGGAACATGCTGAAAACTCTTTCTAGAACTCATTACCCCAAATCAGCCGTACAAAGAATGCAGGCTGAGAACTCCGAACCCAGGAGAGGGGTGCGGAAGGCCTTCCCGACAGTGGCACCCCGTCAGCTCTGGCACCAAGGCCGGAATGAGCATGGCAGGTGCTCAGCTACGAGGCGTCACCAGCAGGCCCAGTGACCAGGTGGAGCCTTGGGGGGAGCTGGGGCAGAGCAGGAGGAGCCCCGCCACGGGTTAGATTAGCACCCGGCACGGCCACAGTTGTTGTCTGGTACCACTGCCGCACGACGCTTGGGATTTAGCCGTCTCCCTGCCCCCACCTATAATGTCATTCTCAGGTCAAAAAGAGGGGTAGTGGTCAGGATAAGGAAACCTTCTCTTCCGAGAGGTTTCCTGACTGTACAGTTCACTCCTTTTCCAATGCTGCTGCCCTTTCAGCTCATAGTCCGGGCCATGGGTTGGACTCGCAGGAAGCTGTAAGGTTGGACCCATACTCGTCACGTACCCCACACAGGGCAGGCACTGTGAGGCCTTGCTGAAATAGCAAAGCAGCTCATTTCAAAAGCAAATGTTCTGAAAATCAAATCTCACACTCACAGTCATATCAGCAAGGAAAATCTTTTAAAAGGCTCAAAGCGAATGGCACATAAAAAAAACAGTTCTTCAAACTAAATACAATTTTAGACTATCTCAGAGTTGCACCATACGTTCATACGCATTAGTGGACAACAGCTCACTTTGCAGATAAGAAAACTTCGTCTCCGAGCAGTCAGTGTCTGAAGGGCTCACACCAGCTAAGCCCAGTGGCCTTTCCACCCCCCCACAGCTCCCAGGAAGCAAACCCATTATGACACTGAATGCAGACTTACATTGCAAAGCTACAGGTAGTGTTTGCTGTTACATTGAGTCCCTGGCAGAAGTTCTGTCCCCAAAATTCATTGTGCTGCAAAGCCTACAACACAAGGGCAAGTGGGCAAGGTTGTGTGAAATTTCAGTTTCCAAAGTAGCTTCCTCCTAGTTTGATCTTTATTGTTACTTCTGAAAACAAACCAAGCTTCACGTTCACAGTCTTTGCCACAGGAGAGCAACTAAAATGACTGCTCCTGTTAACCAAGAGCCTAAGGGTGAGACTGTGGCTTCTAATACAAAGGAAAGAAAGTATTTGGCCAAGCGACCACACCTCTGCCTATATTGCCCCATAGCACTGTCTTCCTTCTCTCTCCAATGTTACAACCTCATAAACACTGTAATTAAAATGATACACTGATACTCAATGGCTGTTTTTTATTTATGTAATAATCTTTTGTATTGTTCTTTGTTTTCATCAAAATCAAGTACAATTCTTGGGAGTTAGAAACTCAGTTATACTATATTAAGACAGTTATTTAGAGTTGATTAATTGGATTCTATAGGCAACAGTGGCTATGAACATTACATGGTCTTCATTTTTCTTCTAATTTCCCTTTCAATATAAAACACAAATTCTAGGATCTCATCCTCCTAACTATTTCCTTATTTATAGAACTGAAATACAAGTACATTGTTTTTACATGAATTTGTCAATCTTTCTTCTTAACTCTGAGTGAGCCCCCACCCTTCACCTCCCTCACACAACAGGGTGACCCAAGGCTCACGAGGAAACGCTCCCTCACTGCTCCTAAAAGAAAGTTCCTGGCAACCTCCACGGTGCACATCTGGGGACATGAGATAATCAGGCTTTGTTCTGCTTCTTCCTAGCTTGGGAACAATCGACTAGTCACAGGGACAGAAGAGGAAAACTTACCGCACAGCCATACGAGGGATGCTCCAGTACTGAAGCCATGACAGCCAAGGCACAACGGTCCTGAGATTGACCAACAGCCCTGAAAAAATCTACAGAGAGCAAATCCCAACAGTCAGATCTGGTGAAGTGATTCCATGAGGAGTTCTAGACAATAACCTCTTTAAGTCTCCTACAACCTTGTGAACTTTTCTGCTAAGACCAACACTTTCTTGAAATTCCTTCCATTACTCAAACGCTTACCATGTCCTCTTTGCCTGTGTATTCCTCTCTTAGCTGAGGCTGTCTGTAGTTTTAAAGGAATAACAATGTAGCTGTATTTCATTTAATTGGAAGATCCTTAATTGTCAAGGCTTTTACTTTCTCTGCAACTGCACACAATCGAAGGTATTGTCCTGACTGTTCTAATGATACAACCACTGTATATTCCCACCAATAGAAACACCAGCACAGTCCGGTTGGTGTTTCTCAGTGGTTGAGCATTGACTCATGCACCAAAAGGTCGCAGTTTTGATTCCTGGTCAGGGCACATGCCCAGGTTGTGTGCTGAATCCCTGGTGGGGGGCATGCATGAGACAGCCAATCCATATTCTCTCTCATCATTGTTTCCCTCTCTTTCTCCTTCTCCCTCTCTCTAAAATAAAAAAAACAAAACAAAACGCTAGCACATATTCTGAGCAACTCATGCCTTTTTATATTTCCTTAACACTGTAAGCTTTGTGATTTACAAGGGTATCCCCAAGTGACTTTAGGAAATATTTGGGGTTCAAATGCATGCCTAACATAACCCAAGGCCTAGAACTAGTGCAGCATAATGTGAAGTGCAGCACAAATATAACCCATACCTTCATTCAAGCTACCAAAAAGCAGTATTGCCATGGAGACCCCAGATGGACCACTCCAGCAAGAGATGGCTACATAAAAAGTTCATACAAAACTTCTAACTGGCACTTCCCAGCGGGATGGGCAGAACAAGGACCATGATGTTGGTGGGAATACATGTGTTTCAACTTGATTGAATCAAGTGCTTATTATATAACATCTCTCAGTAAAATACAGTTGTGAATGGTTTTTCAAGTTCTCTATATAATCAACAACTACAATAATCATAATAAATCAAAGTATCCTATATATAAAACAAATGTTTTATATACTAAATGGCATTTTATTTATTAGACAGCACTATAGGAAATACAGTTTATTCATTTTTAATTATATGTAGATTGATAGTTTTCAAACTCAGAAATGGATAATTAAACTTTGGAAAGACTTTCGGCTAACTATAATATTAAATGACATCCACTCCTACTCCAGGAGAAAGGACACACGTATTCAGTAACGAGGCTAAGCGTTCCTGGTTACTTGATGCAGTACGGGGAAAGGTGCTAACAGTCCCCCTTCACCATCATCTATGTCTGTAAAGAATACAGGGGAATACAAATATTTTACAAAGGTAAGATCCAAAAGAATGTCAGGAACCCAGAAAGGAGATCTTGTACTGTTTGGACTTTGGAATTATTCAATATTTTTAAAGCACACCTTTTCAAACTACAGGAGCAACCCACGAAAGACTGACTACCCATGCCATACCCTGTTCTGTTTCTCATGGAGCTTAGCTGTTCCCTTGGAAACTAGTTGATTCAAACAAACCATATGAGCTGCCGGAGTTTTAAGCCAGCAGCTCTTTAACACCAGCACAGAGGTCAGGCAATGAACCTGGCATTGTTTAGACAGAGAGAGAGAAACATCTATATGAGAGGAAAACATCAGTCATTTGCCCCAAACCAGCAACCTTTAGATGCACAGGATGATGCTCAACCAACTGTTCCACTTTGGCTGGGTGCAAAAAGCATCCTTTAAACTCTCACCTCTAATAACATGCTAATTAAAATTATAGTAACTATATTAGAATGATAGCAAAAAAAAAAAAGGCTAGGTAAGGTCGACAAAAAAGCTGGTACATCCTCTAGTATAAGCTATATATTTTTAAGATATGTTATTTATTGATATTTCAGAGAGAGAGATGAATGGAGAGAGAGATAGAAATAACAATGTGAGAGAGAAACATTAACTGGCTGTCTCCTGCATGCCCCACACTGGGGTTGGAGCCCACAGCCCAGGCCTGTGCCCTGACCAGGAATCCAACAGGCACCTCTCAGAGCGTGGGATGATGTTCAATCCACTGAGCCACACTGGCCGGGGTATAAACTATATTTTGATATATGGCTTCCTGAAAGCTAAGAGTCCCATTGACAAAATCCTCAAAACTAGTTTTCCAAGACAGGTAAATTTGAAGGAAGAAACGAGGAGAAATAATTAGTTCTCTGAGGACCACAGTTCCTACTCACCATCATAAATACAAAGGAGATATTCATGAGAAGTGTTGCTATGGATACCACACTCTGACCTGCTGCTATGGCCAGTGCCATAGAACTGGCCGTGTACGCCACCATTGTAAGGGTAAATATCATCATGAAGAAGGCCTCCACCGTTGGTTTCAATCCTTCAGAAGAAAAGATGGGGTTAGTCCAACCATTTAGGTTACTGTGTGTTCGGGACTGTTTATTATGCAAACAACACTACAATATTTTGAGAACTGAACATCAGAATGAAAAACGAATCCTCTATCCACTCACCCTGAGTGACCAATTTCACTGTCTCCTGTATAACTGTACTAAATTATCATAGAGCTTTCTTTTTTATTATTATTCAGATAGAGCAGGAGGGAAAAAGAGAGGAAAGAGAGAGAGAGAAACATCGATGTAAGAGGGACATATCTACTGGCTGCCATCCACACAACCCCAACCGGGGCCAGGGACAAACTGCAACTGAGGTATGTGCCCTTAGCAGGAACCAAACCCAGGACTCTCTCTGGTCAAGAGGCTGATGCTCTAACCTCTGAGCCCAACTGGCCAGGGCATAAGCTTTGTTTTGTATACTACTGCATAAGCAATTTCATGTAGCACACTGCCCCTTCTTGTGTAATTATTAACAATTTCTGAGAGTCTATGGAGAGCTGGAGGCAGCACACCTGGCGAGGATTCTGCTGCCTCCTCTCTAGGAAGGAAGCTTGGCAAGAGCACACTCCGTCCACCCAGACATCACCTTACTCACTGCTGCAACTGTCAGTGAAGAAATGGGAAGATCCGACTCACATGACGTCCCAGTGGTTTCACCATCTGAGGGGTGATCCCAGAACCCCAGTCTCCGAGACAAAGTACCACGAAGCTTGAGGTTGAGTATGGGATAAATGAAGTGTCACAAATGACCTTATAAGCTATAACGGGGCAGTATTGTGGGTCACATACTCTGAAGATTTTGGAGCAGCCGTAAGAACACAGTAAGGAGCTGAGGATCCAGGTTCTATTTCTAATTTTATTTTTTAATCCTTACCTGAAGATATTTTTCCATTTACCTTCACATAGAGGAAGGGAGGGAAGGAGGGAGGGAGGGAGGGAGAGAGAGAGAGACATCCATTGGTTGCTTCCCACACAACCCCGACCAGAGCTGGGGACGAACTGCAACTGAAGTATGTGCCCTTGGACGAAATCGAACCCATGACCCTTTAGTCTACACGCCAATGCTCTAACCGCTGAAGCGAACTGAACAGGCCCTATTTCCAATTCTTTAAGACACACCCCTTATTTGTAAAATGAAAGTTTAAACTCAATCAGTGGATATTCTCCTATAGCGCTTTCTCAAAATATATATACATTTCTGCTGTGTGTGTGTATAGTGAAACATGTGGATATTCCAAGGCAATGAGCCAGGGGACAAACCTAAACATGATGCACATGTGAATCTCTCAACATCTATTTAAAAAGTATTTTTTCCCACCTCACAAAGAAAGATTCACATAGGTTGAAAGTCAAGGGATGGAAAAAATTTTTCAAGCAAACAGAAAAGAAAAGCCTGAATAGCAACACTCATACCCGATAAAATAAACTTCACAATAAAGGCCATAAATAGAGACAAAGAAGGCCACTACATAATATTGAAAGAATCTATCCATCAGGAGGATATAATCTAAGTAAAAATATATGCACCAATTAAAAATCCATTAAAAAACTTCTGGAGGGATATTCTCTCTCTTCCATTTTCTTGGGTTGAGGCAACCAAATTTTATGTGGCCTTGTTTCGACAAGGCTGATTAAAAATAAAAAGGGACAACATAACTCACGTGGATCTTATTTGCAAGTGAAGCATCTCCCAACAAAATGCTCACAGACTGAGTCTCAGTGGATAGAAAACACCTTCCCAAAACTAGAGACAGCAAAGGACCGTCACATATTGACAAGAGTAATTCAACAAGGAAAAATAACCTCTATAAACGTGTGCATTAAATATAAAAACAAAGAAATGTATTTTAAAATTTCTGGGGGTTTTCAAAAGAGAAATTGACAGCAATGCAATCACAGCAGGGAACGACAACATTCCACTGACATCACTATCCTCTAGACAAAAAAATTCACAAGGAAACAGACTCTAAGTAATGCTCTAACATCAAATGGACTTAACAGGTTTCCACAGAAAATTATTCCCTTTAATTACAGCCATCACATTATTCTTAAGTGCACAAGGAAACATCAAAGATAAAACACATGTTAGAACAGAAACTAACTCTCTATAAAATCCAAGAACGAAATCACATTAGGAAACGAAAGTACCAATTTCAACCGCAAAATTAACAATATTGCGTGAGAAAATAACTTAACTACAAAATGAAAGAAAACACTGAAAGGTTTAGAGAAGTCAGAAGCTTCAAGGGTGTTACTCGCAAAAACAAGTTAAGAGCTCAAATATGGAAAAAGCTGACTGTAAGTGAACCACTGAACACGTTTTTGTCTTTTTTTGTTTTTAAGATGCCTCGCCGAAGCAAGGCCACCAAAAATTTTTGGTTGCCTCCCACACGAAAAAAATGGGAGAGAGAGAAACATGCCAAATGATACTGTCAGGCACTCCTCGGGTAAAAGCCACTACTATTACACTGACGGTGGCTACCTAATGACAGGATTCAGCGCCTTACTAAAAACTTGCAAATCATTTCCGAACCAAAAGTCTAATTTTCAAAAAGATATAAGGGGAAGAAGTTTTAAGTTTCTTCTCCTTAAACGTCGATTCGGTGCAGTGCATTCTGGGTATGCAAATCAGGACACATATATTTACCAAGGCACCTCCTCCTTCTAGATAGATCCTTTCGCTATTATCTGTGTCTCCACATATCGCCTTTATTTTGACGTCTATTTTATTGGATATGATTATTGCTAGCACAGCCTTTATTTTCTTTCCATTTGCTTAAAAATTTTTTTCCATCCCTTCACTTTCAACCTATGTGAGTTTTGTTGTGAAGGGGGTATCTTGCAAGGAAGGTATATATGAGTCCTGCTTCCTTATCAATCAGCTACTTTGTGACATTTGATTGGAGCATTTAACCCATTTTCCTTTAAGGTTATTATTATTATTATTATTTATTTATTTTTTTTATCCTCACCCGAGGATATTTTTTCCATTTTTTTTTTTTTGTACAGATAGAGTGGGAGGGAGAGAGAGAGAGAAACATCGATGTGAAGGGACACATCGAGTGGCTGCCACCCGCACGACCAACCAGGGCCGGGGACAAACTGCAACTGAAGTACGTGCCCTTAGCGGGAACCGAACCCGGGTCTCTCCGGACCGCAGGCCGACGCTCTAACCGCTGAGCCAAACTGGCCAGGGCTAAGGTTATTATTGATACCTACTTATTTATTGCCTTTTTTTTTTGGTTGTGGTTATGTTTTTCTCCTATTTTTTTTTTGCTTATTACAGCAGTCCTTTTAACATTTCTTTCAGTGCTTGTTTGGTGCTAAAATATTCCATTAGCCTTTCTTTTCTTTTTATCTGGGAAGCTCTATAATTCACCTTCTATTCTGAATGATAGGCTTGCTGGATAAAGTAGTCTTGGATTCACATCCTTGTTTTCCATTACCTTGATTAGTTCATGCCATTCCCTTCTGGTCTGTAATGTCTCTGTTGAGATGTCAGATGATGAACTCATGAGGGTTCCTTTGTAGGTAACCTGTTGCCTATCTTTTCCTGCCTTTAGGATTCTCTCCTTGTCTTTACTTTTTTGCGTTGTAATTATTAGGTGTCTTGGTGTGGGCCTATTTGGGTTCTTCTTACTTGGGGCTCTCTGTGCTTCTTCAACTTGAATGCCTTTTTCCTTCACCATTTAGGGAAGTTTTCTGTCACTATTTCTTCAAATATATTCTCTAATCCTTGCTCATTTTCTTCTTTTTTGGAACTCCTATGACACGAATGTTGTTATGTTTCGTTTGTTCCACGGTTCTCTTACACTGTCTTTCTGTTTTTTCATTGTTTGTTCTTTTTGGTGCTCTGATTGGGCGATTTTTCTACCCTGTCTTCTAATCCACTGATCCTGTCCTCGGCCTCCTCTACTCTGCTGGTTATTCTTTCCAATGTCTTCTTTATTTCTGCTATGTCATCCTACATTTTTGTTTGGTGGTTTTTCATTTCCAATTGGTTAATTTTCAATGTTTCTATATCTTTACTTGTGCTGTTGAGCTCTTTACACATGTTTCTGAGCTTTCTCATTATAATTATTCCAAACTCTTCCTCTGATAACTTGCTCAATTGCATTCCATTGATCTCTTCTTCTATAGAATTCTCTTGTTCTTTCATTTGGGTTTTGTTTCTTTGTTTCACCATTTTGGCTTCTGAATGGGTGTTGGAGCCTGACAATTTTTCCTGTGGGTGTTGGTGTTATGCTGATTGTGGCTCCCTCTACTGGGTTTGGATGAGTGAGGTAGAACCCATATTAAACACCACTGTCAAGTCTTACTTTTCTGGATAGATTTGCAGGCCAATCAAAGGTTTAGGATTTCTCTAGCTTTTGCCTGCAGGCTACTAGTCTCAATCATTTGATGAGCCTTGGGTTGTTGTCCTCAGTAAATGAAAAAATCCCCCAGTGCCATCCCCATTAAAATACCAACAACACTCCACTGCTCAATGGACTTCTAAGATACCAATGACATATTTCACAGAACTTGAACAAAAACTTCAGTAGTTTCTATAAAACCAAAAAAAAAAGAGACTACAAATAGCCAAAGCAATCTGGGAAAAAAAAGAACAAAGTAGGAGGAATGACAATACCGGATATCAAATTATACTACAAGGCCAGTGTAATTGAAACAACCCGGTACTGACGCAAGAACAGGCATGTAGATTAATGGAACAGAACCAGGAACCCAGAAATTGAGCCAAGACTTTATGCTCAATTAATACTTGACAAAGGTGGCAAGAGCATACAATGGAGTCAAGACAGCCTCTTTAATAAATGATGTTGGGAAAATTGGACAGCTACATGCAAAAAATAAAAC